ACCTAGCCGATGTTTGTTCGAACGTAGGTATCATCACGTAGGCATGGTGTATTTACTTTTCCCCAATTAGGACGCATCGGGTATTTACTTTACACCACAGGGACGCATGGGGTGTGATTAAGTTGAAGCGGGTCGCATGGGGTAAAACGCGCTTCTTATGTCAAGGCATAAACACTGCCATCTTAAAAGTAAGAAGACCCTAAGAAATAATGTAAGAATAACTTAGCCCCATTCTCCGTCCGACGGTGTCATCACATGCTGTTTCCAGGTGTCAAGGCATCTGGTCGACGCTATGATTCCAACTGTTTTTCGGAGGATGTCAAACACCGATCGGTCAGCTCGAAGGTCCCTTCACACATAATGGGGAATATGGAAATCGTAGAGATTTTTAAGAAAACACAATCAATACATTGACCTTTGGTTTTAGCAGTATGAAGTCAAGGGTCTTATCAAGACATACGCAGATAAATACACTCAATTGCAGAACACCAAATCAAGGCATATATCAATATATTCAATAATCGAAAATCGGAATAGGGGGCCGAAATTGGTTGATTATGTTTTTAATACATTATATTTAGTGGTCTATAGGCCAAATTATTTCTTTCAATTAATTAATCTTTTTATGTAAGGTTTCGGTTATAATTAAAAAGTTAGTGACACGAGCGGGATTCGAACCCACGACTTTCGGCTAGATACGCCGCTACTCTACTACTTGAGCTATCGTGACTTCGATCCACTCGGACACCTACTCCCCATCTCAACCTACAAATTTTCAAAATTTCCTGTGTTTGCCATTTTCAAATGTCGTGTAATCAGTATGCGATTCTCGGCGACATACGAAGTGGCCAGGGGGAGCTGTTTGAGAAGCTATACTTCGTTCTGGTTGAAATTATGCCCTCCGATGGTCACTATATATTAAAACTATCTTCATATAAATGAGGATTTATTATTTAATTTTTCTACGCGACCATAGAACTTCATGAAATTACCTCATGTATATAATTTGCAGCCTCCGCATTATTTGTCTGTATCTCCTCAAAACCAGAGATAATTTTCTAAAAATCTATATCCTATTTAATTAAAAGTGTCGCAAAAAGACTCACTTTATCTTTAATTTGATTGAAATAAAAGCAATAAAAAAGTAAGTAAGATGGTTACGCATATTGAAATTACTTTGTTTTTTACTTTCTTTTTAACATAGAAAAATGCTAATTTTTATGTGTATCGACAAACACTTAAAAAATACTCATGGACATCCACTGAGCAGATGAAAATATTTTTACGGAAATATTTATTTGCGTTCAAAGTTGAGAGAGAACGATGTTAATAAATTATCTTTCCCGTATTTCCCTCGTCGGGAGACAAAATGAACAAGAAATATTCATAAGATTCGTCTGAATCGCCTCTTGTGGCTTTCGCTCTGTTACCCAATGTGTACAAAAGCGGCGGAGACGCAGGAGAAAGGTCTCCAGGCTGTGGGGTTGTGGTTAGGTCAACTTTTTAATAATGTAACAGCCTATATGTAGGGACGCCGGGGTTCGGTTTTATTGGCCGAGTTTACAACGTATGTATAAAGAATCTTAGCTTTTTCTTCATATTGTACCCCTGTTTATAAATAATGTCTCTCCTGTGGCGCGCTATAAAACTCGTTCGTCACATTGAAATGACCTTTTATAGTCTTGTACACGTACTGACAATATTTCTTATGTCTTATACTGTCAGGAAACAGTACCTCTGACTCAATTCCCATGTATCACAAAAACCGATTAATATCTTTCATTATGGGTAAACTAATATAAACTTTATATTTTACATTTATTAGGTTTCGTGGTCTGCTTGACAAAAATAAATTCTTTCCAATTAATTAATCTTTAATTAAGGTTTTGGTTGAGATAAAAAAGTCAGTGTCACGACCGGGATTCGAACCCACGACCTTCGGCTAAATAATCCGCTGCTCCACCACTTGAGCTATCGTGACTTCCATCCACTCAGACACTAACTTCCCATCTCAACCCCACCTTTGAATTTTCCCTCCTATTTGCCATTTTTGAAATGTCGTGTAATCTATTTGATTCTTGGGGACAAATGAAATGGCCACGGAGAGCTTTAGTGAAGTACACTTCATTTTGCTTATTGCATTTATTGGGTTTCGTGGTTTGCTTGGCTAAATAAATTATTTTCAATTAGTTAATCTTAAATTAAGGTTTTGGTTGAGATAATATATAAATATGAATTTATATTTTTACTTTTTAAATTTATAAAGTAAGATGATTTTATTACTTTAATATAATTATATGACTTGTTTATAAAAATAATTCACTAATTTTACCACTATATCAACATTATTTTATATAATACAATTAATTAAGGTTTTTAGTTGACATAAAAAAGTCAATGGCATGAGTGGGATTCGAACCCCCGATCTTCGGTTTGATACCGCTGCTCGACCACTTGAGCTATCGTGACCTCGATCCACTCGGACACCAACTTCCCATTTCAACCGCACCTTTTGAATTTTCCCTCCTTTTTGCCATTTTTCAATTCATTATTTTATATGGGGCTAAAATTGATCAATCGAAATTTATTTTCTTATAAATTTATCTAATAACATAGATTTAATTCATTATATAATTTTCAAATCGAACGGTTCAAATATTTTGGAATATGGGTTTCAACATTCTCCTAAAGAATGGGAAGTCAATGAGAAGTTACTTGTAGATGACTTTGGCAAAATCATATAAGCCAATACGAAGGAATTGGAGTGTAAATTTAGTGCAGTGGTGATGATTGTTCAAGGATGCAAAATTCAATATCTTTCCAGACAAATATCTGTTACAGAACCAAAAAATGATAAAAATATAAATATTTATACAAAAAACTGTAAAATGTCACAAAAGAAACAAAATTTTGTTTTCAAAATGAGATGAATATAAATATTTGAAATAAATGTTTAAATCAAATAACCACCGCCGTTATAGCCGTTGACCAGCTTCGGCAGGTACGAAATATTCTTTGAACACTCGACGGGCGTTTTTGATTTGTTTCTTTGGTTGAGGCCGTAAGTTGGACCTCCACTCTATTTCGGCCAAAGGAAGAATCTGTGCCAGAAAAAATTGTCATGATTTAAGTTGAATGACTTGGCACTGTAGTTCCTACACTGAATGCTTCCGGTGGGACTATGTTTTTTTCTTCAAGCTTCCTGCTGGATTCACTTTGTACCCATTGTTGAAACACAAACTCTAGATTATTCCAACGAATTATTAAATATGGCGATTTGAAAAAAATCAAATGCAGCAATGATGGCACAAACCGCACTAATAGAATGACAAAACAAGAATGGTAACGCTTTGAGGTGAAACAAAACAAAATTAATGTTATTCAAGAAAGTTACATCAAATTTATAACTATAATTAATTAATACACCGACCAAAAATACAAAAGATTTCTTCAACGAGGCTGTTCATTGGTTATGTCATAAGAGAAAACTTTAAACTGTTGTCCTGAAAATGTTATTTTTTCAACCTTTTTATTACGTTGGTGCGTTTTTGTGGAAAACTGCTGCATCCATTTCCATTTTTTTTGTTTCATTCAGCGTGTCAAGGGGCTTATGCTAAACAATATTTGTTTATGAATGTATTCACTGAGACGAAAATAGAAAAAACATATTTAAACTAAAAATTAAATTGTAGAACGTTTTCAGGGGCGGATTGCTCCCCTTATGTTTAATGAAAAATTGGATGTAAGTCCTTTTTTATAAGATATCAGTAAAAAGCATCAGACAAAGGAAAATGTAAAATATCTAAGTGTTGTTTTTAAGGAGTGCGTAAAGCTCACAAATCACACTATATAAATTAGATAGATGGCTAGTTTTACAATACTTTGCTAATAACGTCAGAGATAGCAAAATGTATACTGAGCCCAAAGGGTGTCTGTATCACGTATAAGGAACAGTGTTTATCTGCCCAATGCTTTGCATGTAAAAGCCTCGGGATAAATGTTAAAACTCAAGAGGACAATAGATCTAAAAGAATGACAAAGAATAACACTTTTGAAAATAACAAAATCGTGTAGAACATCTCCTACTCCCTGTAGGTCCCATATTCTCTCCACCAATTAAGCTCTCCGACAAAATATAATAAAACTTCGACCGCTGAATGATGTAATAGTACTATTTATCTCCAATTTGAGTTAATCTGGCGTAGAGTGTCTTGGAGGGTCGCCAAGGAAGAAGGGTTTAAACTTCATTGGACAAAAAACTCATAACAGGATAAATGAGATAGAAGAACATAATGGAAACTATCCGTGAGTTATTTTCCAATATCATTATCCTCGACAATGTCAATGGAGTTTGGCATAATGGTTTAGTCCATGGGTTGATGTAATATAACTCTCCCCTCAACAATAAAAATAGTCCACTCTTATATGTTATCCAGACAATTCTCAATCATCTCTCTTCCAGACAATTTTTTTTGTTCAGCGGCTTCCCAACCAAAAAACTGATGGTATTCCTCAAGGCTCTATACATTGACCCATGCTGTTCCTTGTATATTATAGCAAAATATCTCGCCCGAAGAATTTGAAAATGACTCTCTACGCTGACGTCTAACCCGCACATCCCGACATCATTTGTTTTCCAAGGTTTACTAAGTGCATAAACGCAACAAACTACAACATCCGAATTCATACCGTCCCATCAGTTCACTACTAATTTTAATAAGTTCGCCGTCATGGTTCTGCAATGTGGTCGTACTGTGGGCATCGTCCGATCCTCCCTTGAGAAGAAGGATTGCTATTCGGCGACTACCTTGAAGTCGAACAAGATTTCGATCAAGTCTGGCATCTTGGTGTACCTGCTTCTTTTTCCTTATGTATATGTATATGTATATATATATATATACTTATGTAAGAACCATTTTTGGTGGCTTATTGGAGAAATACAGTTTATTTAGCACATTTGTATTATGTTAATGTAATGAATCTGATGTGAACCTGATTTTAAATAATTCAATATTAAAATTATAGCATAAAAATCCTGACTATTCGTGTGCATATGTTATACTTCATACCACAGGGGACGTTAAAGGACACGGGTTAACTTTCACACTAGGAAAAGGAACAGAAGTCGGTGAGCTAAGTTTTAAATTTATAAAATAAAAAACAAATATTTATTTACTTATTAATGTTTTCAGTTATTTCTGGTATAAAAGCGTTGAGCAGTTATGTCATTGGTGAGTCCATTGGGGTGATTTTCAAAGATTTTTCCTCATACTGGAGGAAACTAACAAGCGACAGCCAACTGAGATGGGTATTTATATTGCAGAATTTTGAAAATTGCCTTTAACTGCCTATAATTCTTTATTAGATAGGGCCAGAGAAAGGTGTCATGCATTTGGCAACAGCAGCTATAATAAATGCCCTTTGGGACCTGTGGGGAAGGATTGAGAGTAAACCCGTATGGAAACTGCTGTCCGACCTCAGCCCAGAGCAGCTTGTGTCTGTCATTGATTTTAGATACATGTAGGATGAAATTCAACAATTAAATGAATTTTTAAGAGACCAGTTATTTATTTACAGAACTGATGTTATTTCCAAGGAAGAAGCAGTACAAATGTTGAAAGATGGTATGAAAGAGAGGCCGGCAAGAGAAGCCGAATTATTAACAAACGGCTACCCTGCATACACTACTCNAAAAAAAAAAAAAAAAAAAAAAAAAAAAAAAAAAAAAAAAAAAAAAAAAAAAAAAAAAAAAAAAAAAAAAAAAAAAAAAAAAAAAAAAAAAAAAAAAAGAATCGAAATGCTCTCTACTCTCCGTAATGCACAAACGTGCGCGTCTTCACACTCTAACCACTGCAACTGGAAAGTTTAATTCATGTTTTTCAAAGGTTTTCATCAGCGAACATGATGCGGTTCTTTAAAATCCAACATAGGGTTAACAAAATATCTCTTAAGATGACGAAAAAAGTTTTGAAAATTCAAACATATTTCGGTTTCGAACCCAAACTAAAAAATTTAATATATACTCTGTATGTATAAATATAATTCAACCGGGCCATCTAAAAAGGACACCCTGTATTTACGTATACATTACATATCTGTATCATTCTTTGTCGGATCTATTATCAACGACATACACGATGTGTAGAGATTAGTGACCGTTAATCGATAGTTATTCAGATATCGTGAGATGCGGTCGGGTGTGATGTAGGTTTCAGAAAAGCATTTTCTTTTCGTGCCAACGTTTTGATCTTTTATTGAGTTCATCTTCAGGGCTCAAAGTGTTTGTCTTCTGCGTAATTGTGCCTTCCTTGCGTGTCGTGTTGAGAGTCGCATCTCACGATATCTGAATAACTGTCATACACGCTTTTGAGCTAATAACCGACATGCGATGATATTATATCTTGACAGATACCCAACCGAAGATAATGATCACTTGAGAAACTAATAGACTACAATTCTCAATTATATCTGTACTGCAAAATAGCAGAAAATAGAAAACTTAAAACTAAAAAATAATATTTTCATAACATGCACATAATATTGGTCTGCAAGTCGGTAAACTAATGTAGACCGGCACAGGTTCATCGTGAGTGCAGAATATGTTGCAAAATTCAGATACGTATCAATTTCAACTATACTTCATTTTCAGATAAAATCATCCTTGACATTATCTCAGCCAATACCTTACTTAAAGATTAATTAATCGAAAAGAATTTATTTGGTCAATCGGGCCCCGAAACCTAATGAATTTAATAAGCAAAATGAAGTATACTTCCCTAAAGCTCTCCGTGGCAATTTCATTCGTCGCCGAGAATCAAAGAGATTACACGACATTTGAAAAATGACAAAAAGGAAGGAAAATGCAAAACGTGGGTTGAGATGGGAAGTTCGGGTCCGAGTGGATCGAAGTCACGATAGCTCAAGTGGTTGAGCAGCGGCGTATTAAGCCGAAGTTCGTGGGTTCGAATCCTGCTCGTGACACTGACTTTTTTATCAAAACCAATACCTTACTTAAAGATTCTCTTTAATGTTTATTGGCCAATGGACATTGAACATTCATTGATAGACAATCACAACATTAAGTTTTCAATTATTTCATGGCTATGAATTATTTATTAAAAATTTAGTGCCTGCTTCTTTGTTTAAAATTAATCTGAATATACCACCGTTGTAATTATTTCAAAACAGGAACTCATTTCCCATGGAAATAATAGGCAAATGTATTATTAAATAAAGTAATATGACACTTATAATTATACTTTTTTATCCAATGAACTGTAATTTCCAATATAACAAAGCTAATTTAATTAAATATTGTTAAACCCTTCTAATCATAAAAAGATTATTCAAATTAAAAAACTATTAAGTGTAGCAAACTATTAAATAACGTGTAATGGTGCTTGAAGAGGGTACTGGGAACAAAAAGTGCTCCAGAATAGTAGCTCGATTTTAAATGTAAAATGATGTTCCTTTAATTGACATTGCTTTGTAAAAATCATTCCAATCCGATACTCATTTAATTGGTATAATTTAAGTACTACGCGTGAACGAAAACCTTTTGTACAAAACACAGTGGTTGCTTCTTGTTGGTTTAAACGCTAACATCAAGGTAGTTCTGATTCTCCAACGACTGAAAAGCGATATTCGTCTCCTCTCCTTTGAGTTTTCTTTCTGTGTACACCTGTTTGTATATACTAACTTAAAACAGAGTACATCCTCATGTAAGCTGGGTTTTTTTCTGTTCATTATACGTAAATTATAATTTAGGTAAATATTAGTGGACAGATTAATTTGGAAAAAATGTTTATATTTGTCACTATAAAATCATTTGTTATAAGATAGCAGTGAAGATGCTTACAATGTAAGTAACAAATTCTAAATTAAAATAAAGTTAAAATTAGGTAGAACGAAAGGCTTCATTGCTTTTCAACCATTGATGATGTAGTACCACCGAAAAAGTACACAGAATCAAGAAAAAATATGGATCTATTCGACTAGAATTATTATAATCCTCTACATCTTTTTAAAAATATGTTTTAACGTTTTCAATTACCACAATATTAAGTGATGGTAAATTTAATGCAGAATTTGTTTAAATAAAACATTTTTATGGAATTCAAGGACCGGACATTTTTGCCCAACTGTCTCTGCATTATGGAGATTTATCTATCCGATGGATAACACAAGAAACTATGCAGTACTCTAGGCAAGGCGCATTTATATTATTATATCCGTTCATATATCACGCAGTCAAACTAGGCAATTTTCTGGAAAAGAACACGTTAACAAATTTCCTATGGGGAAAAGTGTTTCCTTTTAATTTATGTTTAAACTGACATTCGCTTATACCTGGTATAGAAATACCTGTGTTTAACAAGCCAATTTGTCTAAATGTGGTATCGACTCTTTAGGGTTTGTTAACATGCTGACCAACAGAAACAAATAAACTCTTTATATTCTACACCAATTTATTGTGCGTTTGGCGTTAATTTGTTGTTTGAAATAAAAGTAATTTTAAGGTTTGAAAAGTTTGCCATCAAAAATAAAATAAATTATCAGGAAAAGATTTTCTTAATACTACTGTGGTCGTAACCTCCAATAAACGTTTTTAAAAGTTATGTGCGCAAAATTATAATGGTTCGGTCATTCTAGTTTTTTTTTATTTGTTTCCATGATTCGAAACAACTTGTGACATTTGGATTCGTTATGTGCGTTTATATTGAAAATTTAATTTCATTCTTTGATGAAAAATAAAAATTAACAAGGCAAATATCGCTTTACCTGACAAAAAATGGTTAAACTTTCGAGGTTGCCGGTTGATATTTTTTAAAATTATATATTGATCTTTCAAACGATGAAAATTTTATCTATTAGTACGGATTTGCCTAGACTAAACATAAGGAATAAATAAAATAACAAGATCTCATTTGCAATTCTGATCTGCGAGAACCATCTTTTACGTGCATTGCTCAATTGATCTATCGTGTATTTAGATTACTTTGGTTCGTCGACCACTATAAAGGTTCAATAACGAAAAGAATACAAATTAAACCCATGGGGGCAGAGGCAAAATTGTTTTAGACGGTAAAGCATTCAACCCTGAAAATGAATTCGTGACCCTGTGGAAATAATCACTTTCCCATAAAATCTAATTTAACAATAATGATACTTCAAATACGAAAATTACCTACTTTTGTTTATAATATATTGTTTTATAAAAGGGTAACGCTTTGTCTTTTAAGTAATTATACATTATTCGTAGGTTTTCGGTTTGTCTATGTATTTTTATAATGTCGTAAAGTATTGAGAAAAATCTACGAACAGCAATAAATTGCATAGAACAAAAATATAGTACATAAGATTAAATCGAGCGAGAAGCTATTCAGAAATAGCACATCTACACATTAACTACTAATTAATCTTTTTACGTAAGGTCATGGTTGACATTTTCATTTCAATTCTCATTGAATTCAATCAGGATTCGATTCTCGGCGACACGTGAAGTAGCAACGGAGAGCTGTTAATGAAGATATACTTCGTTTTACTTATTAAATCCATTATTGTTACTGGTCTGATTGACCAAATTTTTTCTTTCTAGTAATTAACCGTTTTACGTAAGGACTTGGTTGACATTTTCATTTCAACCAAGACCTTACGTAAAAAGATAGATTAATTAATTGAAAGAAGTAATTTGGTCAATCAGACCACTATGTAATGGATTTATTAACTAATAATTATCACTCTCACTCTTTGACGATCACGATTTCACTATGTTTATTACAAGACCTTCCAAAAAAAGAATAATTAAAGAAAATATTTAATAATTTAGTTCGGTAAATATTCTTGATGCCACAAGTAATGTGATTGATTGAATAGAATTCCTTTCCTCTCATAATTTTTGCATTCTCGAAATATCAACATTTAATTTAATGTGTAGAGGTTAGTGACCGTTAATCGATAGCTATTCAGATATCGTGAGATGCGGTCGGGTGTGATGTAGGAGCACTCTCAACACGACACGCAAAGATGGCACAATTACACAGAAGACAAACACTTTGAGCCCTGAAGATGATCTCAATAAAGGATCGAAACGTTGGCACGATAAAGAAAATGTTTTTCTGAAACCTACATCACACCCGACCGCATCTCCCGATATCTGAATAACTATTTAATTTAATAATTTTGAATAATTTTTTTTTTTAGTAAACAATTTATTTCACGCATTGATTGAAGCGTCTCGCCACATTGATTTCCAGTGAGAGTCAAGCGACGGGAAAAACACCTAGTCAATATTGATTTCCGATGGCGAATTTGTAGGTGAATAATTCATGCAAGGGGCCGTGTGATTGACAGCGGATTACCTGAAGGAGGAAGACGACGGTGACATTGCAAACCCGTGTAACCAGGGAGACACTCGCAGACGGCGTCGTTCGCCCCCAGCTGCCTGCAAATACAAAAAAATCATTAAACACCCTTGCAAAAAAAAAAAAAAAAATCAGATATACAATATTGCAATAAAGACTGTAATATTCGTACATCCCGTTCACGATTAAAAAAAGTACACTTGTAAAATTAAATGATTTGACTACCGTTTAAAATTTTGCATTAAATTCATACAATGCTCAGCCGCTTAGCCTATTATTTTAACGGATAAATACATAAAAAGTTAGCCGTTTAGGTCGCTGGGAAGTTGAATGAATTGACTTGGAAAATGTCGGTCATTAGGCTCCCACAGCCTATCCTATAATCATTAGGGCCGCTCATTATGCCCAAAAGTTTCGGCAATTCGGAAAAACCTTCTTTTTGAAATTGTAATTACAAGTGAATCGTATTAATTTTTAGGACAATCGGATCAAGTCCATCTACAAAGAAGCGACTCAGACGCAGGCAGCCTGATAAAAACTCTCATGAATATTGAATTTCTTTTTTATTCAAAAGGCATAGAAATTCAGACGAATGGGAAATTCTAGTTTATTATTCTACACTTATTTAGATCATCTTGAAAATTCTCTCCTGTTTAATTTAAGAGCAATTGCTCAATTTAAACAATTTTCATACCGATATATATTGAACATTAGGCAACAAGAGAGATAGACATTTTTAAATACATTGATTACTATTTAAAATCCAATTTTAGGAAATAATAAGAATTTATAAAATGCCTGCAAAAAAATCTGCAATATATCGTCACTGATCATTTTAGTCAATCGATTTCTTACTGTGTTTGTCTATTAATTCGAGTTTTTTCACTTCGCCATGACTTCATCTTCATCGTTAAGACGGGAAGATAGGCATACCAAAATGAACGGTACCGACCCGATTATTGGTTCTTCAAGTTAACCAAAAGAAATATTCTTACATAAAGATGATCCTTATATTTATAATAAATTTTCTTTCCGACCACAGGTATTTTTCCCCTTGTCATAAAAAAATACATAAAATGGTTCTATATTTTCGTTTGTTCTATGCGATATCAATCTCCCATTAACGCACCTCTATAGAACCAAAGCACTGTTGCCCTGGTGTGTTTTTGGATATATTTCAATGTTTCAGCCCTTGGCACTCGGGAATACTGTAGAAGTTCCATCGGATCTTACCAGCTATGTTTAGATTTTCACTTCCAAATATCCTTCGTGACTTCAATATCTCTTTTCGAACCCATTCTTCCAGGTGTCTCACAGGTCCTTGCTTTTCTCATGTAATACAACCTACCGACCCATACAACCTAATACTATCACCCCTTCCTTTGTCGATGATAATGTAATTCTTTCTTTGTTAAAGCACTTAAATTGCAGCAGTAGTAGTAAATTTACTTTCTTTACCACTATTTCAAAATTGGCTCACTGTATCTACCTATCTTGATCTCTCTTTCTCTCGCCCTCTCTTTTCATTGATATCTATATTTTCTCCCTCCCCTTTTGATCCTTCTTATCTCATATTCAATTGTATTATGCTTTATGACTCTCTCACACTCTTTAAAGAAGAAATTGGAAAACCGTTTTCTATTCATCCTATGACTACTAGATCTCATTTTGCCTCACAAGTTTGGTCCCCTCTCTACCAACCACTATAAATTTTGAAAAAATAAACCACTTGTCACAAGACGCTAGGGGTCGCCTATGGACACGTTTAGATGGGATAAATGCCCGCTTCCATCACAGAAGGTAGGTGAATTGAATTTCGGGCTAATAAGAACTCAATTATCAATTATTAATTATTAATTGCGACAAGAAAGTTTTAGGCCTGTTTATTTTAGTTTGTATAAATTTACCGTTAAGTTAATAAATTTATTTTTGGTTAAGTAAGTTTTGGTGTATTTAAATTTATCTCTGCTACCAGGGTAGTAAACCCAATTAATATTGCGTATAGGGACACAAAGTTTTAAAACTTCTACGCAATCGACGTGTCTGTGCACGTTTCAATCCTGCAAAAACCTGCAGGTTACAGAAAAACAAATTCTACTGAGGACTCCAAATTTTTGCTTTTCTCTTTTCTGTTGCAGGGGATCTTTCCACGTTCAAGCTACTAGGTGTTAGCTTCGCCGTGAACCACGCTCTGCTACCAGGTGTCAGCTTGCTCTATCCTGCAACGAACTTCGGTTACCTAAACTTACGTTAAGTCCGGGAAATGGCTCGCAGTTTCCATAGCCCACGTACAGCGAAATCAGCAGAGTGCGCTGTGATGAAAGCGTGGGGGAAATTAAAATAAATAGAAGTATAATGAAAAGCAAAAATAAAACAAAACCTTCTTTACCAAAAATAAATTTATTAACTTAACGGTAAATTTATACAAACTAAAATAAACAGGCCCCAAACTTTCTCGTGGCAATTAATAATTAATAATTGATAATTGAGCGAACGGAGAAGCTTAATCGGTGGAGACAAAAAGCACTTACGGTTTAACAGTTAGAGAAGCTAGGATCAGTCCGCTGCAGAGATCAGGAGGCGAGTTCTTATTATCCCGAAATTTAATTCACCTACCTTCTGTGATGGAAGGGGGCATTTATACCACCTAAAGGTGACCATAGGCGACCCCTAGCGCCTCGTGACACACTCGAAGAGTTTTCTATGATATGAAATACAACGCTTTTATAAACATAATAACGCATACAATTAGTTATTATATTGTAAATTAAGTAGTATGTGATAACAATATTGTCAATTCTAAAGATAGTTTATGGGAAAAAAGTTTTTTGTTATATATAGGAAAAACAGGGCTGCATTTCTGAAATTGACGTACGTCAAGTCCGTAGTTGCACGGCTGAAAAGCTTTATTTTTCGTTTAAAATAATGTACTGGCTTTATAAGATTAATTACTTTTTCTGGGTGGAGTAAAACCGGCGGAAAATAAATTTGGCTCATATCAATTAAGCCTTGTATGAGCAAAAAAAATTCAATAGGTTTTTTAAATCCTGCAATAGACTTTATTTAGAAAAATCAACAAATATTTAAATTAATTCAATAATATAGTTTATCGTCCTGGAACATTCATACATGATGGTATATCACATCGACATGCGGTATCGATGGTTGTCAATATGATAGGACCTAGATGGTGGGTCTATCTTCCAATCCGAGACCTAAAGACCGTTGACACTGACAGTGGACACCAGCCGTTTTGAATTTTGCTGAGCAAGTTTCACTTGCTTTTTGTTACGTTTTTTGAATGGTTTGTTGAGGGAAAACTATTTTATTGTTCTTTTGTCTTCAAAAAAATTAAAATCAAAGGTTCATTGTACAAACCCAGGAATACAATAATTATTTTTAAAATGAAATAAATTTATTTTTGGTCAATTGATTGAACATTATTTCTTTTATCTTTTCCGTTCGTCTTCCTACTTTTATATCCTGACGCTTCACACCGGCGCCCTCTGCCAATTAGGTAGTATATTATTCGGTTAAATACGACCTCCAGGGGATATAATAAGCTGACAATACAATATATTACATATACACTGTAATACTTTTGATTAGGCCAGTGTAAGCAAGCTTAAATACTGAGCCTCTTGATGATAAAGTATATTTTCTTAATTATATTTTTACTTATAAATCTTTATATGCTTACACATACAGTATTTTTTACGGTAGGACAAAATCATTAAATTTTCTTCAATGTCAACAATGCTTCTTTTTCTTAATATGTATTATTAACTGCACTTGTTTAAAAAATATAAGATATATATATTCTAATTTATAGTTTTTTGAGTAATGCTTAGTTGTTTGGAAAAATTTGTATGGATATCTATTGTAGGGTTAAACAAAAGATTAAAGTTATTGGCAAGATAAACACTGTCTTGACAAATGAAAAAAAAAATCGTGGCTCTTTCAGCGATGTACGCAGCGGTTTATAAAATATAAAATTTCTTCACGACTTTGCATAGACAAAATAAGTGTTACTGAGAAACCTTCACACCTCTCCTAAGTTATTTTGTTGAATTTTACGAACTGTTGGTTCAAAAACGTGTACATATGAAGACTGTTGCACCAATCACAGTTTAAGTTGGTTCACTGGAACCTCGTTCATAATTTGAACTCAGTTCAGGGAAGAAAGCGATTCACCATCTGTAAGGGGCCACCGTTCTACTGAATCTATTTCAACCTCGAGTTTGCAGAACTGAGCTTTTTACAATTACAGCTAGTGAACTTAGTTATTCATTGTCAACACTGATATTTTTTCGTTTCATTGTAGGTTTTTTTTATAGTATCTTTTGTGTTTTTGTATTAATTTTCGTTCGTCAAATATGACGGAGCTTCTTGTATTCTATCATAAAATAAATCGAAATTGCCTTACTTTTGCCGATTAAAAAATGACCACAAAATTAGTATAGTTACAATTGTGTATAATAAAGAATTACAAATCAAAAGTTGATACTTTTTTTATTAAAACGTTTGAAAAAAAAAATGGATCAAAATTTGGTTTTTGAGGATGCTCCTTTAGCAACATTGAGGTTGTATCATGAAATGAACTTCCTTTAACTGTGACATCAGTTCAACCAACGCTCGGCAGCCTTTCAAAGTTAAACCAGGTTCATCATTTGAATTGGTTCAAAATAAATTTTAAAAAACCGTCATTTTTTAGTTAAACTTTCTTCGGTACTGAACTGAGTTAAAGCAAGTTTGTGTTGGCCAATGTTTTTCTGGAAACAAATATCTTTCTAGCAGGGCGTTTGAATAGATTAAAACCCACATGACGGATCGGTCGCGCAGGGTTAACATCATGGCGCGCCGTTTTGAGAATTACTTCACGTTTTTTCAGGCCTCTTTATTGGTATTTATTTAGGCAAAACGTTTTGTGTAAATTTTGGAATGAACTAAAAAACACTGCTGTACCTCTAATGTTGTGTTTAACGCCTTTATTGTTTTTTGCAATGCCTGTTTTTTTTTAAATATTTTCTACTGAAGTATTTTATGTTTATTGTATATTTTAAGATAAAATACTTTTTAT